AAAAAGGAGCTATCACATAGAGCCTAGGAGGAGAGAGACCAGAAATAATAATTAAAGGATTTGGAATGCATTGCTATTTTATAAAAGATGGTCATGAAATGCCACACTACAAAGGTGAAATTTATTTAAGTCCTTCAGGAAGTTAAGGAGCCAAGTCATAGGACTCTCTGAGCAAAGTTTAAATGCAAAAGTTGTGAGATACGTACTTGATGTATTAAAAGAATGCCCAGGAACCTAAAGAGCAAGAAATATAATACACCAGAACCATAACTGGGGTCAGAACACTCAGGACACCGAGGCCATTAAACTTTGAGGAAGAGGGTAAGTACTTGGGAGATTCTGAGCAGTTTAATCTGACTTAATGTTTTAAAAGGATTCCTCCAGTTAGCTTGGATAATATTTAGTATGGGGTGATAAAAATGAGCAGTAAGATCAGGTGAGAAGCAAAGTTCAATGAAAGTGGTGGTGACCTGGAACTGGAACAGTAGCAATAGAGAAAGAGAATCAAATTCTGAACATAACTTCAAGGTAGATAAAACAGGATCTGGTGATGGAATTAATGCAAGCAGAAAATAAAATACAAAGGATGACTACAAGATTTTTAACTTATATATCAGGAAGGGCAGAATTATCATTTATTTAGGGTAGAGTAAGTTAGGTTGTATAGCAGGACACAGAGCTTGTGAGTTCAGAGTTGAGGACAGAGTTGTACCAGAGACATATAGTTGGTAGACATAAGCATATAGGAAGTACTGCAATCTATGAGACTGGGTAGGAACCTGAATATATAAGCAGCAGGTATAGATCAAGCAACGAGAGACCAGCCACTTATCAGGGTCTGGTTTCTTGGCTGGACTCTGGTATTTGCTTTGACCACTCCCAATTAGAAAATCAGCCTAAAGGTCAAACACACTGCTGTCTGACAGGAAACTGAGAGAGATAAATATTGTCTTATTGTCTGGGGAGGATGCTTTCTACCTCCAGCATAAACTCAACCTGTCTTCTACACTGCTACCACCTTTAACCGCCCTAGTTATGCTGATCAACTGCAGTCCTAAGTTACAAAATAAAAATTTCAGGAGAAAAGGAAAAAGAAGTTCTAAAAGGTGAAAATTTTTCTGGAATCTCAATCACTTGGGTCATGTATGCCTGGCATGCTCATCACACACACACACACACACCTGTCATATCCTATGCTACATCATAAAGTTATAGAAATTCTGATAATAGAAACTAGTCACTCATGAGCACCTAACATATTTGCTGCATAATGTATGAACTATTCAAGATTCCAGTTAGAGATGAACTATCTATGAGCTAAGCTTACTACCAAATGCCAGGATCTGGCATAGTGTATGTACCAAGCAGTTCAATTCCCTTAGAAAACAGCTTGTGATTCAAGGTCTCTCAAGGAAATCCAAAATGTGTAATCTAATTTCTATACTTCCATTTACAAGGTAATTAGCAAAATTGAACTTACCATTTAATCACAAAGAACAAAACCAAGTCAGACATGCCACAGTTGGGCCTGAGATCTTCAGTTTCCTAAATGTGTTCAAGTGAGCTTCTTGGTTCACACAGATGTGTTACAAGGGCTATGAATATACTGCGCAAAGCCAAGTGTGGTATCTCAGCTCGCTGCAGTCAACATGATTCATTTTTAAAAAGGATATTGTACCATAAACTTTACTACAAATATGACCTCAATTCACTTCACAAACTCCAGACTTACCTAAAATCGTAAAAGTCTGCAAATTCCAAAGCAGCATCACCATCTGTGAAGAGCTTACAGTGACTTTTGTCGTTCATGTGTGCCTGCACAGCTTCTGTGGAGTAGAAGGATTTCCCTTTCTCATTGCACCACAAGCAAATCTTGCCAACACCAACTTTCTCTCCTGGCCAAATAATTTAAGGGAAAAATATGAAAGGAGCCTTCTGCAGCCAAGTTAAATCTCACCATTATCTTCCCAAATTGAAAAACATTTTTTTTTATTTTCACCAAATAAGCACTAATTAAAGGTTGATAGGAAACACAAATCAATGTTCCCTTAGGACCTTCTGCCCTTCAATAATATACATTTCCTCATTAAAAGGAAAACTACTATACTTACCCAAATATTTAATCAGCCCTTTCAGATCGGAAAGATATTCTATATCAGGAATAAAGAAGCTGTGGATTTTAGTCATATGAGCCACATTCTTCATGAGTGAGCTTGAATGATGAGGACAAAATAAGCAGTCTGTTACTGGGATGGCACCTGAGGGTGGGCTTCCCCCAGCCTCTTCATCTTCTGCATCCTGTTCCTCCGCCTCATCCGCTGCTTCCCTGTGCTCACATTCCAATTCTTCATCAGAATCAACATCCTCCCAATCTGCAAGCCAGAGTTTTGAAAAACTGAGAGTGGTAAGCAAAAGACATCACAATGATTTGTGGGGTGGTATCTTCCCCTAAACAAAATTCTCTTTTCAAGATCTCAATTTTAACTATTCATTTGCCACAGACAGTGTGGTTAAAAAACTCCTGAATCTTTCTTTTCCAGTACATGGTAAAGCACCTTGAAGTAGTCTCCTACTTCTTTCCTCCAACCCACAGCATCTAGCACAGTAGCAAACAGAGTTAAGTTAAACTACTCTGCTGAGTAGTTTATAAACTGCCCTAACAGTGTATACCATTTCCATTCCACAAGTATACTTTAGTGCTTATGTATGATGTGTGCAGGGACGTTCTATGAACTGCTATAGTCTGAATGTATGTGCCCTCCATGTTGAAACTTAATCGCCAATGTGACAGTACTAACAAGTGGGGCCTGTGGGAGCCCTCAAAGATGGATCAGAATCCTTATAAAAGGGCTTCAGGGAACCAGCTAGCCCATTTCTAGACATTTGCTCCTCTTCCATCTGAATACACAGAATTTTTCCTTTTCTATCATGAGCAAATCAAGAGAAATTACCCCACCACCAGCACCACCATGGTTAGGCCCTCACCAGTGAAGCTGCCAGCAGCTTGATTTTGGACTTCCAAGCCTCCAAAACTGGCAAAATAAATTTGTGTTGTTTATAAATTACCTAGCCCAAGACATTTTGTTACAGAAGCACACACAGACTGACACATGAACACAAACAGTGTAAGTATTTCAAACTGTGTAAGTAAACACAGTAAGTATTAACAGGCTGTGAGGGAAGGAAGGAATAAATAGCTCATGCAATAAAGGATGCTAGGCTGCCTGATAGAGCTCCACAGTTCAGACTGGCAGGCTGAGTTCCAGCCCCTCCTTCCATTTTAATCAACTAAATGCAACTAAATAAAAAGTCTCAATAGGAAACCCAAATTCTACAGTAGGGTGCCAAAAGCAAGTCTTTCTGTGCACAGGTTAAAAAAAACCTTCATTCAAAACAAAAGCATCAATTCATCCTAAAAATATTTACAATGCACCTCTACTCTATTTTCACTTAGGGCTTTAGACCCTGAATCCACAATGGAGAAACAGAAAATTTCTGGAGATGCTAGTTAAGAAAACATCTAAACCACCTTCACTCATCAGTTTAAAATGTCATAACGAGACCCATCATTTTGCATAATGAACACATGATTTTTTTTTCAAGGTGCATAAAGAAACTTTCATATAAGTGAAAAAAAAAATGAAAAGTTGGCCTGGTCAATAGTTAAAACGCCAAACAACCACTTACCCAGTAAGCTTGACGGGGATGGGGACCACGTATTAAAAATGGAACCCTACAGCCCATATGCCTAAATATTTAACAGCAACAAATCCACTTAAGCAATTCGGATACAGGCAGGACGCAAGAGATCCTGGGAAACAGCGAGGCCCTGTCTCAAAAGCTAACACCAGAAACAAAACGAGAGCAGGGCTGGACGCTTCCGACGTGCGCTGCCAAGCCCCGCAAACACTGACCCACACGGCGAGCTCCTCCCCCCACCCCCGCGTCCGACAGGGCCACTACCTTCGTCCTCCGGGTCCTCGTCCTCGCTGTCGCCCCACTGCTGCTGGGCCAGCTTCTTCGCCTGCTGTTCGTACCACTGGAGCCGGGGTGGCTTCTCCGCCGGGTCTCGCTCGTGGGTCCCGCGCCTGCCCGCGGCTGTTCCGGACTCTTCGGTGGGCACGGAGGGCGCCTTCTTGGGCGACGTGGACGGCTGGGCCTTGATGGCCTGCTGGATGGCCGCGTTCATAGCATCTTTGTCCACGCTGTCCGCGCCCAGTCCCTTCTCCAAGTTCTTCTCGTTCATCATCTCCACCTGGCGACTGACGGCCTGCACCGCCTTCTTCTCCAACTCCACGTGCCGTCGGGACCTGAGGTGGTTGTCGTAGGCGTTGAAGGTGGCAAACTTCTTACTGCACACGGTGCAGTAGGTGGCCGTGCCCTTGCTCTCCTCCTCCGCCACCGCCCGCTGCGCCCGCACCCGCTCCTGGAAGCCTTCGGCCGTCACCGGGGCCATGCCGGCCACCTTGCGCCGCAGGTTGTAGCGGTGCCAGTCGGTCTTGTAGTGCGCCCGCTGCATCTCCGCGTCGCGAAATGCCACCCGGCAGGTGATGCAGGTGTAGGTCGCCATCGCCAGACGAGAAGCGGAGCACCGGGCCGAAAGCCTCGCAGCACTCTAGACTCGACGGATCCAGAGACGCGAACTCCAAGAAGCCACCAAGAGCCTCACGAAACTCCCTCAAGACTTCCGGAGACTGCCTGAGCCAACTTCCGGCATGCACAAGAGGCTAGTCACAGCTGGGCAGGAAGTCTCCTGGAGCTTGGTCACGCCCCGGAAGAGGCGGGAACTTGCTGACCGCACGCCGCACCGTCCGCCGTTCGAGCGTGGGTTGTGCTCTACGAGGTGAAGCGTTTACAGTGCTGCGTGCGCAACAGGAAGCGGGGAGTGGAGGACCCGGGCCTGCGCTGGCTTCCGGGAAGTGCCTCTGAAGTGAACCTATGAGACTACTTGATGGGGACTCCCCTCAGGACCGACCCCGGCGACCCGGGAACGGGTTGCCGGATGTGGCGAAAACGAGGGACTTCCGGAGCGGCACCCGCTGGCTGTCCTGATTGACTGCACAGTGGCGTCCGGCCCGAGCCTCCGCCTTCTTGAGGTGGGTGTTTTGCAGGGCGCAGGCCTGCTTAAGTGCCAAAAACTCAGCCTAGCTGCTGGCCAACAGAAATAAGATCCGAGCCGCGTGTGAAAATTGAAATTCAGTAGTAACCGCATAAAAAGTAGAGATGTGGAATTGCTTTTCAAGTTCAAAATACTATTTCAGCATCTGAGATCTAGAAGAGTTTGTGCAATATTTTACGGTCGTTGGTACTCAATTTTGAGGACCCCGTGTGTGACAGTTCATTTCGTTTGGACTTGCCCCATTCCATTATTTTCAGTTGCCAACATTATACCCTCATACATGTGGGTCAGTGTTCCCTAGGGCATGAATTGTCAAGGCTTCATGGATTTCTCTCCACAGCCTGGCTCAAACAGAATCAGCTTTGTTACAGAACTGAACGTTGACTAAACTGCCAATGGAGATTTTGTCCAAGTTAGGTCGTGCTGGCTTTTACTCAAAACCACCCAATGACTTTCCTTTGACTAAATAAAATTCAAATACCTTGCATTCTGGGAGGCCCTGCAGAGTCTGCTGCCATCCCTACCCCAACCTCTGATCTCCTTCATAATGACAAGATGCTCTAATAGGTTAAGCAAGTACTTTTTTTTGTCTTGTGTTAAGAATTCCTTGCTATTCTGCCTTGCTCCCTTTTTAAATCTCTGCCCAAACGCCTGGACTTCTAAACCCTTTTGTCAAAAATAGTGCCCCCAATTAAGTCCTTACTGGGCATTTCTTTTAACACTTTGAGTTATTACTGTGTATTTAATTGCTCACCATCATTCAAAACATCTCAGTTTCTGTAAGGCAAGTGTTTGAGAGGCTCTCTAGTGAGCCTCTCTTGTGAGTTTATGGAGAACATATGGCCAAGGCTGAAGTTACCTGAAGGTTTGAGGATTTGACCACAGCTAGAGGAGCCTCATCAATAAATGACTCACTTACATGGCCAATGGCAAGACATTCTGGTTCCCTGCCTATTGAATCTCTCTGTAGAGAGCTATTTGTCCTCTAAGATGACAATTAGCTTCCCTTTAGAAAGAGCAGAGCCACAGTGCCTTTTTATGGTCAAGCCTTAGAAGTCAAGTATTCCCACAATATACTCTAATGCAGGTCAGTTCCAGTGTTTCAGAACATGAGTACCAGGAGCTTGGCCTGGTAGACTTGATGAATCATTTTGAGAGATTGACTAACATTATCATTTGTTGTTTATTCCAGTCTTAGAACTGGAAGTCCTCTGTCCTTATAATTGTGGACAAATCAGAAGGGCTAGATGAGTCATCTACAGCTAGATGTCATAAACTAATGACAACGGCTCTCCTTTCATTCTGTATACCCAATATTAGGACAAGGCCAACACAGACTGTTCAGTATTTGTTAAATCAATAATTGTGAAGTGCAAAAGTTAAATATGATGATGATTTTTATGCTAGAAAATGTTACTATCCACATTATTTGAGCTCTCTGGACAGATTTCACTTTAATATAGCTAGTGTCCATTGCTTCAACTAAAGCAAAATGTTTGTATTTCCAAGCTTTCCTGGACAGCAGAAGCTAGCTATAGAAAGAAAATCATTTCATGTACTTTGTTTTTATTTCCTCACTGCTTCCTCCAGTTTCTCTTCATAACCCCATTTTCACATATTTGAATTCTCTAGAGAGTCTTCACTTTTCCTCTTCAAAACAACATTGCCACCTCCAATACATTAATCTTCTAGTGAACTGTAAAGAATAGGCTTTGTGGTCAGTTGTTTTAGCAGGGTGACCTTAGTTTATTCACCATTCTTCACCAGGATACTTTCATTGTGCTTGCTATTGTTTGGGTCTGGTTCATAGCTTAAAGATTCGTGTCCCCACTGTAACAGTGATGAAAGGTTGGAACCTTTAAGAGGTTATTGAGTCATGGGAGCATCACCTTGAGATGATGAATGTTTTCACCAAGAAACTGGGACTAGATGACCACAAGAGTTGCTGTTGAATACTAGTCAGCCTCCCACATGTGACACCTCTCTTCCACACACATCCATTTCACTTCTACTTTTCTTCCACATATGGAGCAACATGTGGCCTTCAGCAGCTCAGCAGATGCCAGTTCTATACTCCTGAACCTCTAGAACTGAGAGCCAGATGTATTATTTATAAATTTCTCAACCCCAGGAGTTCTGTTACAGCAATAGAAAATGGATCCAGTCATGAAGATTAAACAAGATACTGTTACCTGGTGTTTCCTATTTCTTAGACCAAGGGTCATCATATTTCCCATATAGGGGCAAGTAGTAAAAAGATTAAACTTTACAGTCCTGTCTAATCTTTATTAAAGCTTTTGTGATTTGCTGTTATAATATAAAATCATCGATAGATAATACAAAAATAAATAAGCATAGCTATGTTCTAATAAAAGTTTATTTAGATGCTAGAATTTTATTTTCACATTTTTCATATTACAAAATGACCTGTTTTAACTTTTAAGATTTATTTTTATTTTCTTGTGTGTATGAGTGTTTTGCCTACCTGTTTATAAGTATACCTGTTCATGCAATGCCCAGGGACGCAAGAAGAGGGCGTCAGATTCCCCCCGGAAATGGAGTTACAGATGGTTGTTAGCTGCCATGTCAGTGCTGGGAAAGAAACCCAGGTCCTCTGCAAGAGCAGCTAGTGCTCTTCACCACTGAGTCAGCCCCCCTTTCTGATTTTTAAAAATTATTTTAAAGATGAGCATGGTGGCTCACATCTGTAATCCCAGTACCTGGGAACTGAAGCAGACAGACTGCCATAGTTTAAGGCCAGCCAGGGCTGCAGAATGAGATCCTGTGTCCAAAAAATAAAAGTTAACTATTTTTAGCATGTACCTCATAGAAAAATAGGTAGCAGACTAGATTTGCCTTATGGGTCTCATAGTTTGCCAATCCCAGCCTTAAAAAATGATTCTTGCATCATCCTGTGAGGTCGGAGCTACTTTATTTTGTCTATAAGGGAAACAGATACAAAGTTAAGTGACCTTCCCTGAGCCCCACAGCCAATAGTATTCGAACCATTAACAATAACTAGTGTAGACCTTACAGAGTCCACAAAGACAACTGCAGTAATAGACATTTTTACAACACTTTCCATCCATTTATTTCACAGGCATATACTGGTGTATGTGGCCAGTGCAGAGATAGACCCATTAAGAAAATTTCTATTTTCTTGTAAATAGGTACTTCTTGATTGCTTTAAAGATCTATCAGGATGACTTGGAAGGCAGGTAAGACAAAATATTGGTGTCTTGGTTTTATGCAGTCTTGATTCCCCTTGAAAGTGCTTCAGATACTTTTAGAAATTCTCAAAATGTGACTGTGTGAAAGGAAGAGGCTGTGGTTTGGGAGTAATTTTATGACTTGGACACTGTGTCATAGTGCCATGATACCAGCATTAAAACCAGCGCCTGTATATCTAACACTTCATTGTGTTGTGTGAACGTCTCCTAGGGAGATGCAAACAGGTGTCTACTCACCCGAGAGGGCACCTATGACAGATCAAAGTACAATTCTACCCAGGTCTAGCTTGGCGAACCAGCGAGTTTATTGGGTTTACTTACAGAGCATGAGTGAGGGATTAGTTACTTACAGGAGTGTGAGCAACTCCCACACAGCCACACCACTGAAAAGTCTCACCTCTACATGGATGACAACTTCCTCCCCATATGACAGCTGCATAGATTGAGTCCTCCCTGAGCCCCTCAACCTCTTCCAGTTAACCTTTCACTGTCCATATACTATAGCACCTCACAAGACCATGAGGCCACAAGCAGTTAGGGCAAAATTACACAGAGCTGGGAGGAAGTAGCTAAGAACTCAGGTGAGGGTCTGATTGACCCTCCCCACACCTTCCTTATAAGGGAATGTCAACAGGCCCATCTTCAGGGTCTCTCAAGTAGTCTAGGCAGGTTTGATGGTGACAAAGGCTGTTATGCTCAGAGGACAGCTTTCTGCAGCACATCTAACCCAAATGCTGCAGTGCAAATGGAGAAATGATGGTACTGATACGGTCTGAGGCTTCATAACTTTTCATCATGATACAAATGATCTGGGCAGCAGTTTACTGAGGGTTTTCACAGGAATTTCCTGTCTTGGAACTAACACAGCTGGAGTGTAACACACACACACACACACACACACAAAATATTAAAATCTCTTTTTTTCTTAAATTATATGTGCTTTTAGCCTAAAATCAGTAGCATGATGACATTTGCCAACTTTTAAAAGAAAGTTGTACTTATTTAAATATAAAAGTAATCCCTAACTTCAGCAAGTAGGAGGCTGAGGCAAGAAGACCTCCGTGAGTTCAGGGGCAGCCTGGGCAACATAATAAGATCTTGTCTCAAAACACACACACAAATCTCCATATACTACCTAAATATATTGAGGATGTTTGCTAATTATAAAATTTTTTATTTTTATTTTTTAGAGTTTTTGAGACAGGGTCTGCCTGTGGCAGTAGCTGGCCTGGAACTCACTATGTAGACCAGGCTGGCCTTGAACTCACAGAAATCCACCTGCCTCTGCTTCTCGAATGCTGGGATTAAAGGCATGCACCACCATGCCCAGCCCATTATAAAACTTTTATAACAGTTTATTTTCCAAATCCTCCGCGAAAGTAGGCAGGAAGAGGGGTTTGTTTATTTAATACATTTTGAAGATTTTTAGGATATGGATAAAAGCAAACGTGTTTCTAGAATGAGAATATGCAAGCCTGAATTAACCTTCCAAAGCAGACCAACTTTTTTTTTAATTTTTATTTTTATTTTATGTGTATAAGTGTTTTGTCTGCATATAAGTATAATGCATATGTGCAATGTCCTTACCTCAGAAGCCAGAAGAAAGTATTAGATCTCCTGGAACTGGAGTTACAGATGGTTGTTAGCTACTATATGGGTGCTGGGAATTGAACCTGGGTCCTCTGCAAGAGCAGCTAGTGCTCTTAATCGCTGAGCCATCTCTCCAGTCCCAGACTTCAGTTTTATTGTTTCATACCAAAATATATGATAAATGTATACTATTCTCATTGTATGGTTTACCTAACACTTTCTACAGGAAATGAGCAAACCTTTTCTATAACTCCTGTAAATTTTTTTAAAAGTTGATATTTTAATAACTACATTCCACCCAGATCTTATAAGCCACTCTTTATAAGGTTGTTTAGATACTAGGGAAATCTTACTATTTATATAAATTCTCACGACAAAGGATACATAGTCCCCTGGAATACGAATCACTCTTAGTTTTTGCTACTGTATCTTAAAACTAGCAGCAATATTACCACAGAACACATACAGATCAACATCCCTATGTTTGCTTGAAATAAAAATTTTAAGAAGTATATCATTATTGTATTGTGTAAGTCTATAACCACATACTCTTGCACACGTAATACTGAAATATTGAAAAGTGTGCTTACAATGTAATTGTTCTCTGTGGAGAGTTGGTATATTTCCCTATACTGATGACCTTTTTTTTTTAAACCCTACCAACTTCCTTCTTAATTTATATCTTGTAATAGTTTATTCTAGAGTTTGTTCATACCATTATCAGCCCTTTAGTTTATTTTCTTGTAAGCTTGTACAATGACTTAAAACACATTCAATTACTTATTAAAATTCTTTTCTCTCCAGTGAAGAAATGACCTTTAAATTTTTTTACTTCATGGCTAAGAATATTTTCTAAATGAAGAAACATACACATAAAAAATACTGGTAACAACTATTTTATAAATATGTGACTGTATTTTTCTTCATGTCCAGAAAACTCGTTGAATAGAATTCAGATATATTCTTCCAGACTCACACAATTCCAAGATTTTCTAACACAAATTTACATTTGTACCAAAATGGGCAAGATAATGAAGGCACAGGCTCACTTTGTATCAATAAAGGATATCAAACACAGTCATGAGGCGCTAATGACATAAGCATAGTCAATCACAAAAAGCAAATATTCAAAGTCTCCAGTAACTTCTCTCCCTTTTACATTTGGCAAAATTTAATCTAAAGATTTTAATACCTCAGAAAGAAAAAATAAATAAGAGATGCTACATTAAAATTTCAAGTTACTATAATTAGTCTTTAGAAAAAAAAAGGGATCAAACCAAAAGGGAACACAGATTTCCTACAGTCTCGTCACCCTTCCTTTTGGAGGGCCTGTGTTAGATGCCAGCTGTAGCTGAAGATTTAAGAGATTTTTGATAGTTGCTGACATGGTCCCTCAACGCTACTAAAAGATTATATCACAAAATAAAACAACTATCTTGGCTTCCGCTTTTTAGTTTGTTAAAAGCTCTAAGTCATATTTGATTATTTAAAGGTGATCTAAAAAAAAGTTTAAAGAAAAATAATATTCTAACTTCTCAATAGGAAACAGATTACATAGACTGCAGTAGCACAGAAGTACACTTTAAGTCCCTCTACTTCTACATTCTAAAAAACAGTTGTTCCATTCTTGTTGATGACCGCATCATTCATAGGACATACCAGTAACTAGTTTCACAATAGAGATTCTCTATAACACAATGTAAAAAAATCAGGTTTAACTTAAGTCTGAGTGTGCAGAACAGATCCGCATTCACAGCACCCCCATCACAGGCATGACAAAAGAACAAAACAGTGAATCTGTTTAGATCAAAACCATCGTTATGGGAGCCATAACTACTTGCTTTCTGTGGGTTAATACCACCTCTTGCAAGACTAGATACGGCAGTCAATGGAGCATGCCACTTTACAAGTAAGCCTATGTATACAACAGCTAAAACAACAGGGAACTTCAGTCTATCGGTAGTTCTTAAGTATATTTTTTAAGTTTTTCCTAGGAAATTAATGTGTATAACATTTTCCAAATCCTTCTTCCAAAGACATTTCAAGAATTTCTCTTTCTATATTAAACTGTACCAGGTTTTTAAAAACTGTTTCCAAGTATGAGGAAAAAGGGAGCTGATATGTACTCACAGTTCATCATTCCAATGAGTTACAATAAACTTTTGCATGCTTGGAAATTATGAGGAGAAAGAATACTTATAGAAAGATCTTATAGTTTGATGGATTTGGATATTTTTCTCTTTGCTTTAAAAACCTCTAATCATATATGACACCACAGTATGTATGTATCTATGAATTTCATTTCCATGCTTATTACATAAAAATAACTATCAGAAATATCAATCAGTATCAGTTGATATATATATATATATATCCAACTCACTGCAGAAAGGAAAAGAAAACAAAAAAAACTAAAGTAATTGTTAAAGCTTACAATTCAACTTTTTTCTTTTTTTTTTTTTGTTTGTTTGTTTCTGTCTTTCTTTGAAATTTTTTGGTGGTTCATATGTGCTCAGCTGCAGGCGGACTCCCAGATTAATGGCCTCCAAGTAGATTTGAAAGAAAGCCTGAAGACTTCTTATTTTTCTGTGCTTCTGCTTCTTGGTCTTGTGTAAGTCCCAATTCACTCTCAATTTGATCCAGCTCTGCCTGGTCAAGTAGTTCAAAGTCATCACCTTCTTCGGTGTCTGTGTCCTCTCCTGCACTGGGGGCAGCCTGAGCAAGTGCCTGCTGGGTGCCTTCTAACTGGTCTTTTATTGCAGCTGTCATTGCCGCTGTGATGACGTCCCCAGCCAGGTTGCTCATCAAGTGAAAGGCTTGGTCACTGTTCAGAGGAAGGGTGAGACCAGTTGCAGACTGCCTCTCTTTGCTTGGTTTGCGACCACTGTCCAACTGCTGCTTTTTTCTCTTGAGCTCAGTGGGTAAGCCAATGCTTAATTCATCCTCATCATTTGTTCCTGTGCCATTTTCCAGAGATGGAAAATCTGAAAGATCTCGAGAGAACACTTCCTCACTAGGCCGGTCAAGATCTGTGAAATGTATAACATCAGTTCGTGATTCAGCACCAGAAGACCTTTGAAATCAGAGCTGTCTAAAATCTGACCTAGCTCTGAACCCCCTGACCAACCTTGGCATTCATGTAGCTTCCTGAGTCAACTGAATCCATTTAACCACATGCAGGACCCTTCCTGAATCTAGGACGGTATCTTTCTACAACTAGACAAATACCGTATGTCCTCCCTACATCTGTAGCTTTCCTCTTAAACATAAAATAGTGTGGTGTGTGAGGACTTAATATTCAACTTCGTCTAGTATGAGCTTGAGGATGTGACTAGTTTTGGTGTTTGCGTGGTTAAATCATCATTGTCAGCTTGATGGACTTAGAATCATCTAGGAGATGCAAGTTTGGACAAGTGCCAAATTCTAGAACATTTTCATTACTCAAAAAAAAGATGATCACTTTCCATCCCCTCCTTCGGGTAGTCTCTAGGAACCATTAATATACGTTCCCTCTATACGGACTTGCTTATCCTTGATTTAAGTGAAGCATTTAATATGTGGCTTTTGTGTCTGGTGTTTTTCACTTAGAATAATGTGTTCAAGGTTCATCATGTATAGGAAATATCAATGTTTTATTCACTATTATAGCCAAGTTATATTCCACAGCACAAATGTACCACATTTTAGTTATCTATTCAGTGACTGACAGAAATTAAGTGGTTCTTCACATATTCAAAATAATAAAAATTAGAATATCCATAAATATCAGCATACCATCAGAAGTGTCTGTTTGTGGAGTGTATCCCTCTGAAAGATTAAAGGTTCCATTATCAGTCCAAGATACTTCTGAGACATCTGTGTCAGACACAGATAACTCTTTGGCAGCAACCGTGAGGCTAATCTGTGGCAATATAAATCCCAGTGGCACATTATAAACTAAAGAAAATCTTTTGAAAAATTCACACTGACCCCCCAAATTTTAGAATAACAAAAAAATAAGTATTTTCCTTTGAGATTTATAAAGCAGAAGTCTATTAGGACAATCATTTTACTTTGGCTTATGAAAATAAATGTATAATGAAACCACATAGAAACACATTGAAAACTAAACCAAATGTACCTTAGGACAAAGTGCCGAAAAGTCTAATTCACTGTCATCTTTGTGACTTTTTTCTTTATCTGCTTCTGTTGAAAACAATATTGCAAGCTTTTAGTTTCCTGACAAGCTTAGGCATAGTGTGTTCATTTTAATATATATTCATAGTCGGCAGACATTCTAATGCCTATCTTTATTTGTTGGCATTTAAGAAGCTTCACATATTTGCAAAATGTTTGCTTTCAGAAGGAAATGGTCTACAGTGGTGTTCTTGTAGCCCGAGCAGCAGCAGCAGCCCTGTGAACTTTATAGCCAAGCAGTCTCAAGTCCTACCCTAGCCCTCCTGAGCCAGAAATGCTGTGCTGGGGTCTACCATCTATGTTGTTCTAATCCCCTCAGGCAATTCTCATGCACACTACGGCCTGAGAAACTGTAAAGTCATATGCAAGTTAGAATGGTTTTAAACACTACATTGGATTTTCCTCTTCCTTTCCTACCCTTGTCATTTCGATGCCCTCGTACGTGGCTCCCATGCTTACTCCCACTTTGTCATTTTCAGTGGTCCAACCCAAATAAAGCAAATCATAAAAAAGCACAGACTTGTTAAAGCCTTTTCTCTTTTCCCTGACAGCTTCTATATTTAATTTTTTATTTACTCATTCTTTGACAGTTTCATCCATGTGTTATGAGTTTTTGTCCTCCTTGCTCCCTATTTCTCTGTCTATTCCCCTGTCCTGTTGAAACCCTTCCCAAGGCATCTCCTTCCTACTTTCGTGTGTGTGTGTGTGTGTGTGTGTGTGTGTGTGTGTGTGTGTGTGTCCCACTGAGTTTAAATAGAGCTGCTCTGTTCTATAATGAAATGTTCACAGGCCTAATCTTGTGCAGGTAACCATGGCTGCATGAGTTCATGAGTGTACCTGCCTATCATATCCAGAAGACACTATTTTAGAGCACTCCCACCACCAGTCTCTGACTCTTTTCATCCTTCCACTCTCTCTTCCTCAGTGTTCTGTAATGGGTATGTGTCGGGGGTGATATAGATGTTCCATTTAGGGCCATGCACAGTTTGTATTTTAAGTCAATGTATTTAATTGTACGTTTGAAAAAAGAAGAAAGGCCTAAATGAAAAGATTACAAGATTATACTTTGGAGATAGGTTTTATAGTAATATTTAGTAAAAGGCTAGAAGTACCCCAAGGGGTATTAAAAGTAACCTCATAACCAGCCTAGTAACGTCTTATTTCATGCATAGACTCTAATAATTCAAACTACATACCAGATCTCTCGCGTTTCTTTTGGTTAATATATTCTCCAATTCCAAAATCTAGTTTCAGTAGAACTGACTTGATTTTGCTGTACATTTTTTGTCCAATATCATTACATTTAAACAGTGGACACAGAAATGCAAACAGCACTGAAATATAAAGGAGAAAAGATACAGGTAACATGTTCCTCCTTTTGAATGCTTGTTTACATTTTAAAACTTTACAAAACATTGCTTAATTTATAGAAAAATAGAAGTTTTTTCCTTAGGGCAATCCCTCCATGAAGTAAGTTCCTAATTTCTGTTCTTCTCCTGCAACGAAAACATATTTTACTACACACACACACACACACACACACACACACACACACACACACACACACCCCTCTTACCCTTAAAATTTTTAGAAGTTGGGGCTGGAGAGATAGCTCAGCAGTTAAGAGCATTGGCTGCTCTTGCAGAGGACCAGGGTTCCAATTCCAGCACCCACATGGTAGTGAACAACCCTCTATAAACTCCAGTTCTAGAGGATCTGATGCCCTCTTCTGACCTCCGTGGGCACTGCACGACATGGGTGCATTTACCTAAATGCAGGTAAAACACTCATACACGTAAAATAAAAATAGTAAGAGCCAGGTATGGTGGCTCATGCCTTTAATCCCAACACTTGGGAGGCAGAGGCAGGTGGATCTCTGTGAATTCAAGGTCAGGCTGGTCTACAGGGAGACCATGTCTCAAAAAAAAAAAAAAAACCAAAGTAATAATAATAATAATAATAAAATATTTTTCAAAAACTTATGGAAAAGTGGTATGCTTTCCAGACTATGTCCTCAGTTAAAACCTCACTGAGGCAATTATCATTGCCACTTAGCCTGAGGAAGGGATTACCTATTATTAGCCTCTTGTCAGTAATGCTGGGATGGTGTTACTTGGGGTTGGGGTTGAGCGAGAGATCAGTGAAAACCATCTGAAAAATGCCTTGCTCTTATTTTGCCTTTCCCAGCACCTTTCACATTTATTTCCTAAACAATGCAAGTCAAGAAACTAATATTTTATATGAGTTCCATTTGGAAGACTAAATGTGAGCTCCAACCATTTACCTTCTGTACTATGCATTAGGGACACAAAAAGGAAGAGGGTCACAGTAGCTGTATCACACTCTCCAGTGCTTACGTCCTCGGTATTTCATGGCCCCAATTTCCTTTTAAAATGGGAGTTGCAAACTCAGTTATCTTTAGAGGCCGGTGGATTATATGTTAAACTCAAAAGCCAGGGTAAGAAAGATAAGAAAAGTAGCAGAACCAGGCCTTCATATTTTTAGGAAAATCAGAAAATCTATATTCTACAAAATATTTTTGAACAATATGTCATATACAATCAATTACGCATAAAATGCAATTTGATAGGGTTCTGAAATGCAAACAACTAAGAAACCATCACCACAATCAAGACCATATTAACTACACAAGTTTGTTCGTGTTTTAATTAAATTTTCCCTTTTGCTTCTTGTTTCTTCCTGACCCCATCCAACTCATCCCCAGGCAACAATTGACATACTTTTTCATTGAAATTACTTTGAATGTTCTAGAATTATATATAAATAGAAGCATACATTACATGCTCTTTTTCATCGTGCATCTTCCATTCTGCCGAGTTACTTTGAAATTTATCCATGGATCACTTTTTAGTGCTGAGTAATAGTCCATTATATGAATATACCACAATTTATCCATTCATTAGTTAGGCTCATATGAATTGTATTCCTTTGTACTACTAAAAATAAATCTGTGAACATCTGTGTGTAAATCTTTGTGCAGATGTGCCCATCCATTTCTCTTGGGTAAATACATAATAGTGGAATGGCTACCCATAGAGCAGACACTACCAAACAACTTTCTGAAATCATGGCACTATTTCCCTACCAAGAGTATGCAGGAATTCTGGTTGTGCTACATCATTTCTAGGACTTGATATGATATTTTAATGTAGGCTTTTCTGGCAGAGATACAATGACCCGCACTGTGGTTTTATTTATTGAACTACAGAACATGAAAGAAGGCAAAGGTGTTGGTGTATTTGTGGGAACTGGTGTGCATAGCTTAGTTATACTCTCACTGTATAACAACATAAAATTTCTTACAGGGGCTAGAGAGGTAGCTCAGTGGTTAAAAGCACTTGCTCTTGCAAACAACACAGATTTGACTCCCAGAACCTACATGGCAGCTCACAACCATCTGTAACTCCAGTTCCAGGGTATCTGGTGGCCTCTGTGGGTACCAGGCATGCATGTGATACACATACATACACACAAGCAAAGCACTCTTACACATTTCAAAACTGAAAATTCTTATACTCCTGCTGTTCTTCACATTTTTTAAGTACAAATATGTTTCTAGGAGAAAGGGGAATTTTTATGTACCAGAATTCAGAACTCACCCTTACCATTCCGAACTATAGATCTGCTAACTACTAAATAATGTTATATGCATCACACAAATTAGCAAAGTGTGCCACTATACTTACACAACAGATAGCTGAGAATGACCCCAGGAATGTAACTTCCCAAGATTGTGAAAAATGTGCACACACTGCAGACCAGGAGACAAAACTGGAAACAACAGAAACAGTGAGATGGTTACTCAAAATATCAGGTGCTGTAGAGTAGCCTGGTAATGTAGACATTATCCATGTGTGCCGCGCTAGGCATGGTAAACGGTTTTCAAACAGTCCTCTGTACTGAGGGGCATTCAAGAAGCACTTTAACATTCAATAATAATCATTTTGCAGACAGAGGAACTAAATTCTTGTACAGAGAATGAAGCTTCCATTACTCCTGCCTGTGGATATGTGACTGCCAGGTGCAAGAGACCCACATAGCAATGTGTCCCCAGGAACAACTTTTACTCAGACAGGTAACTAAATCTGCAGTTTCAAACCACCACTGTAAGCCCACCGAATTCATAAATGTTGCAGAAACAGAAGCATCTATACAAATCAGGTGTGACTGGCACAGCTGGTAAACCTCGGGTATTGCAATAGACAGGGAAATCCTCCTTCTGACCATATCCACCCACTTCCAGGTCAATTTGAAACCAAATCCAAGTGAAATGAAACTCCTGCAGCAAAGGTAACCATTATCCTTTTCTCTGTCAATTACAAAGCAAAAACTTTGGTTGTCTTCATATATTTTAAAATAATATACAGAGTTTCCCTAATTTCCACGAGAAACATCAAGACAGAAAAGTTTTCTTCTTAAAGTCTTCAGTTGATTTTCTATTCCAGTCAAAAAAATACCTACTTTTTAAGCATTATTTTGAAATTGAGGTATTGAATTAAATCGCTAAGTAAGCAAGCAAAGAAAATTCACTAAAGGGCTTTCAAAAAGTTCTGAAGAAGGGATGCACATCAGTAACTGATTAAGAGAAAGAACAAGGGGTCTAAGTTTCAGGTTAACTGATACTTCATTCCACGTGCTTAATAAATTATCCCTACAAAAAGCACAGAAGAACATGTGGAACAAAATGAAGACCTACTTCAGAAACTGCATGGGCCCTTGAAATAATCAAGAATGCTAGAAATGAAGAAAGGCCACTGAAGTTGAAAGAACAAAAGTCAATAAAAGCATGCTGACACCCAGAATGAAGCTTTAAAAAGGGATTGGCTGTCTCCTGTGTTTTGCCACCTTCAACTAATGGACTTTGGGACATTAATGTACTTCAGTGCAGAGGTTTTAAGTTGAGAATATTCAAAAAAAATGCACATAATCATGCCAGTCAAATGGGCACCAAAAATCTATCATGCCCTTCAAATGGCTATCAGTTCTAAAAATGATGGTTCGTGACTAAAGTAATCCTTCCAAATACAATACTGTCAGGTCAATATGCTCAAAGTGTTCCCAAGCATAGCTCTGTTACTTAATACTGGTGAAGTTACAAGGTCACCTGGACACAGCACAATGGAGGGATCTTAAATGCTGATGTTTCTAGCTCTTTTTCCAACTACAGGCGGATAATTTAATCTTTTTTTTTTTTTTTTTTTTTTTTTTTGAGACAAAGTCTCCCTGTAACCCTGGCTGGCCTGGAACTCACTATGAAGACCAGGTTGGCCTTGAACTCACAGGGATCCACCTGCCTCTGCCTCCCAAGTTCACTACCATGCCCGGCAGATAATTTAATCTTAAAAGCAGTGCTGGAACTAGCAAGGTCTGTTGATGGTTCTGTCCTGCCCTCAACTAGACATATATCACAGTCTTCAAGCATGTGCACTTTTCCACGTAATCCCTTTCCAATCACTTGAGACTCTTCCCAAGTGGGTTTTTGTCTTAAATACTCATTCCATTTGTATAACCACAATGAATGTTTTTGCCAAAGCTTGCTTGCTCATTCTTTCTCCTCCCTCCTTCCATCCATCTGTCTGTTCCTCTCCTCCTTCTTCCTTCTTTCCTTTCTTATTTTAAAATTTTATTTATTATTTTTATTTTATGTGTATGAGTGTATAGCCTGCATGTATGTGAGTGCACCCATGTCATGCAATGCCACGGAGGTCAGAAGAGGGCTTTGGATTCCCCTGGAACTGGAGTTAAGGATGGTTTGCAGCTGCCATGTGGGTGCTGGGAATTGAACCTGGGTCCTCTGCAAGAGCAGTCAGTGCTCTTAACCGCTGAGCCATCTCTCCAGCCCCCTCTTCCTTCCTTTTTTTTATGGGAGACCTGCAATGTGGTCCAGGTTGACCTTGAATTCAAGATCCTCCTATCCAATGTGTTGGGATTATAGGCATCCATCACATTCATCAAGTTTACTTAAATAAAACATGCTAGAGTCTCTACTTTTTTTAAAAAAAATTGTGTATTTCATACAGAACAGCTCAAACAATCATCTTTATACCCCTGTCCCCACTGGCACCTTCCCATAGTTGTCCCCCACCACTGGAGCCCATATACTCACTCATCCCTGTTAAGATCCACTGGGTTGTTAGTGTCCCCAACTGTTCCCCAGTGCAAGTCCATCCACTAAGTCTAGTCAGCCTATCTAGAGTCCTTTGTTTTAGGACGATCAGCCTCTTCTTCATCTAGCAGCAGTCGGTTGCCAACATTCCTTCAGATAAGATTGAGGTCTGCTGTTCATTTCCCAGTTCTATGCTGGGTTATTGTCTGCCTGAGTTTGCATGGGACTTGTGTATGCTGAAACCATTACCATAGAATCATATGAGCAGGTTCCCAGAAGCTTATAGGACTCTTTCCCTATGGTCATGCATCTCCTCCCTGGCTCTTGGGAGAAAATCCCAAGACCGTCACATCGCAAGACTAATGTGATTTCTTACTATGTACAAAATGTGTATCCTTAATGTTTACAGACAAGTATCCCAGTCAGCACTCATCAAAGAAGCTCATTTTGCACCAGAGACTACTACCAAGTACCACAACTGGTCACACATGGACATTGTCTATGAACTGACCAGGCCTAAGAGACACATCTACAATGCAACCTCTACACATAGAAAATGCACATAATCATGCCAATCAAACAGGCTCCATGAACATAGAATGGGGACAATGAAGAGGACACTAATGAATCTCTCAGTTCTCAGTAATGAAGCTGCCTCATGCAGCGGAGGGCCAGGAACACAAAAGGTCACAAATAGCCAAAGTGTAAAGATCAAGAGTCTGCTGAATGATGGTCCTTGGCAGGATCCCTTTATTAAACTTCTCCCACCCAAGGCTCAGGGACCGTCATGAAAGAGGGGGTAGAAAGATTCTCTCTACTTTTAAACTGAAAGTAGGACTCTATTAACTCTGAAGGTACCCTAAAAGGACTATGCATTAATCTCAACTCTCTTTGATTTCAGAACCAGACAAAATATAATAACTGAAGTTTTTAATAAGACCTTTCTCCCTGCTTTTGGTATGGTAAAGCCCAGTCACCATTCATTCTAATTAATGAGCCAAATAAATATATTTAAGTTATAAAACCATGGGGCTAAAGAAATGGCTCAGTGGTTAAAAGCACTATCTGCTCTTGCAGAGGACCTGGGTTGGACTCCCAGCACCCACATAGTGGCTAACAACCATCCACAACTCCAGTTTTAGGAGAATCCAATACCCTCTTCTGACCTCTGTGGGAATTGCATGGCATGGGAGCACTTACATGTAGGCAGTGTACTCATATAAATAAAAGAAATTCGAAGATTAAAAAAATATTTTTAAAAAATTATAAAATCATTAGAATTTCATGTGTTTCTGAGCCTTGTAAATACCAGTTTGATGCATGTAGTCACAATACAATCAGAATTAGAGAATATTTATGCACCAAAGGTGGTTGATTAATTTGTTTCTAAGTACATTTAATATTTATAAACGCACACCAATGTTGGAAAACTTGCCTTGCCAGGACTCTGCTGTTTGAAAAGAGACATTTCTTGAAGAAATATGCTGAAATTCATCCATGATTCTGTAATACAGTGGTTGAGTCTGGGTCTTTCATCTGGCTTGGAATTGATAACTTCCCAGCTAAAGAGAGAAAAAGAAAACAAAATATTAACTGAACTTGATGACCTCAGCAAATATTTATTGAAGATCTAATGTTGGGTTCACTCTGGAAAATCCCTGTGAATTCAGAAATCTAAATCAGTCAGATACCAACTCCAGAAACTCAACTACCAAGAGACAACTAGCCAGCTATTCTGTTAACTGATTGCAATAAGGGAAACACTAAGGGAGGACAAGGTTTGGGGTTTGGGGCATGTTTCCTGAAGATGTCATTTTGAGCTCATATCTGGAATAAATTAACAATTTACCCTAAGTGTTGCAGATAGAATAGTGTATAACATATGCAGAGATCCTAAGATGGTAAAAAGCTAAAAGTGTTAGCCTGTCCAGCCCCAGCGGGGCTCCAGCAAAGTGACCAAGAGATAGACAATGCACAAAGCTTAGAGGTAGGAGGCATAGATAGTGCAGAGTCCTGTAGCACTTGTTGGAAACTTATAAACTCTAAAGGCAGGAAGCCAAAGCACTTGCACAGAAGCATAGGCATTCAGTATATAATTATTAATAACACCAACCATGTACTTTCAATATTTGTGGTAGCTGCTCACCTGTAGAAAGTTCTTAAATACGATGCTTTTTTATAATACCCCCTATTTTAAAAACTTTTACAAATTGTAGTGTATGGGGGTTATGTCATGGAGGGTAAGTGGAGGTCAGAGGTCAACCTTGTAAAGTCCACTCTCTCCACCTTTAAATGAATTCTAGAGATTGGTCTCAGGTTAGCAGGTTTGCACAAGTGCCTTTACCCACTAAGCCATCTCATCAGCCCCAGTACCCCGTTTTCTCAAGTATCTTTCCTCAGTCATCTCAAATATGTTAAATGTGATGCAGAGGCTGGCAGTGTGCCATATCCTTGCCCTCATTTTTCTCACAAGAATCTCAGCAAATTGAAAACTAGAAACAATCACTCCAAGGAAGACACATGCAAATGCACCCCGTTGCTTGAAGTGATAGTAACAGCAAGTTTAAACTCTACTTTTGCAATCCCAACTCATAAAAAATATACCAGTTCAAACAAGTTCTAGTTGACCTCAAATTCATTATCTAAGAGATAACTTAGTGCCTACCATGTTGAAGGTTGTGCCATTTAGCCATGGACATGCAGTGAACAACTGGAGGGGCGATTCTAGAAGGTTAGTGAACTATCGTGGGAACTCTGACTATAAGGGTTTCAGAGTGAAGCTCAGCTCTGGATTCTGCCCCAGTGGCCTGAAGACAAAATGACTTGGCCCTTAGATGCTCAACTACATAGAAATTGTGCACATACAGCTTTTGTTAATACTTTGAATAGTAAGGCAGTCTGTAAGTTAATAAAATTATTTTTATAAATTTAGATATAAACTCATACATATATATTGCTGGGTTTGGCTCAGGCCTATAATCCCAGCTAATTAGGAGGATAATACAGGAAGACATCAAGTCAAAAATTTGTCTGAGCTAAAGAGTGAATTTAAGAACAGCCTGGGCAACTTAGGGAGACCCTGTCTCAAAATTAAAAACTGAAAAACAAGACTGCTAAGACTATAGCTCAGTAGTAGAATGGTTGCCTAGCAAGTATTAAGGCCCTAGATTCAGTCCCACTGCCAAAATAAATACATACATAAATGAATGAATGAATGAATAAATAAATAAATAAATAAATAAGGTAATTTTAACCTAAGTTTAAATGAATTCAACAATGTTGAGAGGGGGCGGGTGAGCTCCATTTTCCTTTCTCTTTGCCTCAACTATTGCTCTGCCAGAGCATGACTGAAAATATCACTTGTCCAGACTGAGGTTATTCTACCAGGCAGACATTTGCCAAATAACTTCTTGCATGCTGTACAAAATAAATGTGTGGAGATGTCTGGCTTTAGGGAAGTGGTTTATGTATCCACGAACTCCTACCCTGTTCTGAGTCAGTGAGCATTCCTGCTTTCAATAGTGATCAAGTCATGTACCAGGTCTGCATACCTGGTTAATGATCCCAGACCTGCTAAAGAACACTAAGTACGTGACTAAGAAGCCAGCGTCTGTAACAGCTCATGCCAGGGTATCTCCGTGTAATGGGGAAGGAATTAAACAGGAGAGGAAAAGGGGGTGGGGGACAAGGAAATACAAGATTACTAAGCTGTGGTTATTTTCTCAGATACCCAGATTTTGCAGTATCAATGCAAGCTAGACTACCGTGCAGCTTAAGGGGACTATGAAGATGACAGAAACAGATTTTCCTTTCTGTTTTTCACACTGACTGTAAGGAAATGGCAGAACTGTTTGGCAAATATAATTCTACCAAGTCAGTCCAAAAGCATAATGGAGTGCTTATGTCTTTTAAAGGTTAAAATTAAAATGAACATTTGGGGCTTTAATTTTTTATTATTTTTAGTATAAATGTTCTGCCTGCATGTATGTAAGTACACCTGTATACCTGTATCATTGAATGCCTGTGGCGGTCAGAAGCGGGCATTAGATCCCCTGGAACTGGAGCTGTGGATGACTCTTAGCCACCATGGTGGGTGCTGGGAACTGAATGCTGGTTCTCTGCAAATGCAGACAGTGCTCTTAACTGCTTAGCCATCTCTCTAGCCCTGACATTTTGTGTTTTAAAGCAAATTGAAAATATATTTTCATCAGGACAATGACTAACTAAGGTGAGTCCTGCTTAAGTAGTGGAAGATAAAATAATGAAAGAGTTGAACGTCCCAAGTTGGTATATCAACTTCACAATGAAAATATCAATAGAAAAAAAATCACACAGTATATCAGTAGTTTATTTATATAAACCTCAAAGCATGGTGAACAGGTTACTTAAGCAACAAAGTGCTAAAAATAAAATTCAGGAGGGGCTGGTGAAATGACTCAGCAGGTAAAGGCACCAGCCACCCAGACTCACGACGTGAGTTGAATTTTGTGGACCCACATGGTGGAAGGAGAAAACTGGTTTCCATAAGTTGTCCTATGGCCTCCACACATGCACCATGCATACACATGCATGTGTGCACACACAGACACATGCAAGTAAATGTAATTTAAATTTTTTCAATAAATGGATGAATAAATACAAGATTCAGGAAAGGAGTTACCTCAGGCAGGGGATGAAGTCGGGACTATGACGTAAGTCATGTAGGCAGGGAGTCCTTAGGTATTGATCAGAGTCTGTTTCTTAACTTAGGCAATGATTATATGAGAATCAACTTATTGTGGCTCTTAATGCTACACATACACATACATGTATGTGGCATTTTATTTTTACATTTTAATGTTAAAAAGTATACATATACTTTCTATTTAATGAATAATTTTTTACATTACTATATCCTGTTTTAAAAACTACTGTCTAAAATAAATATTTCTGTTGGCTAAAATGAATTTATCTTGTTCAGACACCCGAACTTTGTTCTAAATATTACCTTTAGAATTCACATCTCAGAGACAGCATCGTATATTTTATTATTTAGTAAATAATGCCTTAACATTAGAAATGAGCCTGGCATAATACTAAGTTACCACTGAAGAGGTCATGTTAAGGGGCTTATCTATTTTTTATAGATAACTTCAAGTGGACATCATCTATTAATTCACATTTTCAATAAAACATCAAGTTCCCACTTTTCAAATTTTTATTAATTTTTAAATTTTATGTGTATGAGTGCCTTGCCTGCATGTATGTAAGAGCACCCATGTCATGCAATGCCCGTTGGAGGTCAGAAGAGGGTGTCAGATTCCCTTGAATCTGGAGTTACAAATGGTTATTAGCTGCTATGTGGGTGTTTGGGCATTGAACCCAGGTCCCCTGCAAGAGCAGCCAGTGCTCTTAACTGCTGAATCATCTCTCCAGCTCTAGTTCCACTTTTAGCATCTTTAATTATGATAGATATGTCATTTATTCTTTCTAAAGCATGAACACCCACACTGCTATTCCCTTCACTGTGTCCACTGACCGCTATCACTTGCTGGGAAGAAGCAACAGAATATCCAACTTGTGACTGTTTCCACAGCTGTAGGAAACCACTCTCCACTTCAAGAATGCCTCATGTGATGGGTTTTTGGGAACAATATGTCCCATTGTTTCTGACATCTGAATTAGCATAACAAATCTGACTGTCACTTGAATTGTTATAATCCCAAACAGAAATTCATTGTGTAGAACTTGAAAATATTATCTAGCAAATGAGTTTTGGAAAGTGTAGACAAGAATAAATGTTCAGACAGTACCAAATAAAATTTAACAGACAGAGATAGGATTTTGAAAGAAAATCTGAATTCAAAGAGGAAGAAAGGGTGTCACACCAGACTTTAAATGAGATGTGGCTGCAGAAAGTTAGCACTGGGAGTTTAGTAGTAAAAAAAATATACAGTAATTATTAGAGGAACACACATTTCTATAATCTCCTAGTGAGCCTACCATTAATTCATGCCACCACAATTTGATTTAGGTAACATAAAATATGCCAATTGGAATGAGGTCAGATATATAATGTCAGTTTTTCATATTCCTTTATGTTATAGATGAAGATCATGAAATCCACCCAAATTATCTCAGCTACTCTGAGACAGAATCAAGACCTAAGGGCAAGAGTCCCAATTTCTAATACAGTTCTGTTTACATTCAATGATGTGCCTCTTCAAATAACATAAATTCAATGTGCTCCTTTAAAGAAACCATGATGTAATTTAGAATAAGGTACACTCCTTGTTTCCCTATTTCCTAGAATGAAGAGGAAAGACCTGTGATTGACCAACACCAGTGTGGGATCAAGTAAGACCAACCCTTTCCAGGAAAGCAGAGCATGTCATGTGCAGAATCCAAATACTCAGCGGAAACTAAGAGCCATGTGTGGTGACTGGTTGATGTTTAATACAAGTGACATCTGCACACGCAGAGTTGCTCCATAATGAAACTCTAGGTTTTCCTAGAAAGCTGTGTTTGGGAAACATATAACCAGAGAAAGCCTCTCCCGTGAATACTGGATGAAGTTTGAGAAACATATCTTTTCCATGATTTATTGCTGTCTTCCCACCATCCTTGGGCACTGATCAGTGTGAACGCAAGGCCCAACTATCACACAAGGAAACGAAACGCACCTTACCCTTCAAAGCAATTTTAGGTTTTACCAAGTTCTTAACCAAAGAATACAAATCATCCATGATTAAAGCTCTTATAAAAGAGAAAATTTAGTTACCAATGGCTTTTTAAATTTATTTTATATGTATAGGTGTATTGCCTGCATATACGTAAGTATACCTGTGTCATGCAATGCCCAAGGAATCAGAAGAGGCTGTCGGATCCCCTGGAACTGTAGTTACAGATGATTGTTAGCTGCCTGTGGGTGCTGGGAATTGAACCCAGGTCCTCTACAAGAGCAGCCAACCCCTGAGTCATCTCTCCAGTACCCCCACCCCCATGGCTTTATTTTTAATACCTTTTTCTTACTTTTAGATAGAACATACAACTTTCAGGTTCAAAGGAAAATAATATTCTTGGCATGTCCTCCTCTCCCACAGTCTTGTTCATTACTCCGTGTTCATCAGTGAATTAGAGCTCTTCAGGCAGTGAACCAGATGTACACTCCAGCCACCCGTGAAGGACCACTGAAGGCATCACTCTCTGGTTACTACCACCCTCCACTTTGCATTCTCCCAGTGCCTTCGGTCCCAGTGGTTTCTGGGGAGAAGTCACTACACAGTTCCTGGTCTCCAGTGTCCGTCCAGGTCAGCTTTCGTATAGGCTTTACCCTAGAATCTGTAAGTCCTTCCACCAAAAACAGTTCCAGTAAATTCCATTTGGTTGTTTCCCTTTGTAAGGAAAAACTGCTCTGGTGTTTTTTGACAAATGACATCCTGCGGTCAAATTAATCAAGTTATTGATGAACCCTGAGCCACAAAGTCAGTTTTCAACAGCTGAAGATTTTATGGTTTCCCCTGCCTGTGCAGCTGTAAGTGTACTAAGGTGGCTCCTCAGGCAAGCTCTCCCTCAGTCCACAGAAGGAGCTTTGACATGCATGTAGAATTTCAAGGCCATATCCCTTCTTTCTTCCTCCAGATTGTATACATGAGATAGTCTGTTCAAGTCAGACCTTCAGAGTTCTAAACTTGGGTGTGTACAACATCCAGAGCTCCTGGAACAGGCTGTCTGGACCTCACTGGAGAGCTCCTGATGGAGCAGTTGGGTGAAACTCAGAACTCCACGTTGATAACAAGTGTCCCTGGTGGGGCACGTGCTCCCAAGAGTCACTGTGAAAAACATCTGACAGAAAATTACATAAAATTCCCATTTTACCAAATATTAAAAGGGATACATCTGCTTCTGGATAAGACAGTGTGGCAGGAGCCAACCAGAACTGTCAAAAAGAAATACCCAAGTGTATATGAAACAATGATTTTCAAGACTGGGCATTAAGGCAAAGAAGGACGGTAACATGGAGAGTCAAGAAAACAGAAGTTCTTATGATTGCCCAGCTCACTGTCTTGAGAGTCTGTAGACCCCAGAGCAATGAGGAGCCACCCAGGGCAGAGAGGAGCCACCCAGGGCAGGGAGGAGCCACTCAGGTGGGATCTGGGCACTCCCTGAGTTAATCCAAGAGAGCAGAGTTTGCAGGACAAAGCCGGGGCCAGTAGAATGCTGCACAGAAAGACGGGGAGCACTCACAGAAGATCTGCAGGGGGATCCCCTAGAATCTTCAGCTGAGAACTAACAGCTGAGCATCCCTGTGGAATTCAGATGCCAGTAAAGAGCTGTTAGGAAGGTCTAGAAGGAACCGTATCTGTGTCAACAATGGCTCTGGTCCCACCAACTAGACAGAAAACCTTAAAAATCCATGACTTTGATAAAGTACTCAGGATCTTGCCTCAACAACAGAGAAAAATCATCTCTAAATTCTGTGCCACTCTGGCCTTGCTAGCTTTACAAGTGGCCCCTGAAGCATCCCAGTGGTCAAAGTAATTCAGCTGCCATGTGTAGGAACACAAAATGGTTGGTTTCAAAAGGTCAGATGTGTCAGAACACCTTTGCTTATTTTTCTATGTAGCTTTTAAATCATCTTGTAACTCTTTTTCTTTTACAAATGTAGCTATCAGGGCTAGAGAGATGGTTCAGTGATTAAGAGAGCACACTGGTCTTCCAGAGTACCCGAATTCAGTTCCAGCACTTAGGCAGGTAAAGATCTGTCTCTGTGGGCACCTGCACTCACATACACATACCCACACATAGACATACACACATACATACAATTAAAATATCTTTAAAATAAATCTTTAAAAATATAGTTATCAAAAATATTAAAAAATTTTGTCTTTGTTTCTTAAAACATGATATGATGTAGATGAGGTTGGTCTTGAACTTGCTAAGGCTAGCCTGGTATTCTTGATCCTCAGACTCCTACCTCTAGAGTGCTAGAATTACAGGCATGTGCCACCACGCCTGGCAAAAAAGGAGTATTTAACTACTGCTTTAATATTCAATATTAAAAATGTGTGTGTAGTCTAATGGCTACCCTAATGGAATTCTCATGTGTTTTGTCTACAGCTTCACAGTGCAGCACACAGTATTCTCCATTAGGGGGTTCTCTAGGACTAGGAAATGTAACACTCACGCTCCTTAAAAATAGAGTCACTGTGATAAGGGTGAGCAGCCTGATTCCTCTCCTCCACTGTGTTTGGCCTGTAAAAAAAATGATACTGAAACAAACTGATCTTGGCATAGTTTTGAAAAACAAGCATCTCCTGGTGTGTCAGCACCGCACCTCTGTTTTTTCTAATGACTATGCATCAAGTACTTACTATTACTGGATCCAACAACTTAGAGATGACTAAGGCATAGCCCTCAACCAGTAAATAAACTTAAATGAGACCTCAGAATGATTGGGAACACCCCACACACACACGTGTATACACACTCTCTGCGCACATGAAAGTCACCTGTTAAAAATGGCTTTAGTATCTCAGGCTATTGGAGAAAAATAAATTCAAAAACTGAACTGGGGATTGGATAAGTGAGGGGAATGTGTTACATATAAGACTTTTTCATTATTGGACATTTTATAGGATAAAAATATAGCTGTGTGGTTATATACATTCCAAATGTGAAAAGTATGTTTACAACTGAGGACTACTCTTCAAAAAAAAATTTCTATTTTTGACATATTAAAACTCAAATGCTTTCACATTTCTTAAGCTTTAGATTTGAGGAGATAGTCACCAATGAAGCCATCAAGCTGGAATGGATGGGCTAAGAGAGGAAGGGAAGCTGATGGAAGAGAAAAGAAATGAATCTTTAAGTCTCAGCTGGAGCTCTCCATACTGCTTAGGACCAAAAGGCAAGAAGCTGCATGCAAAGCAGGTCCACCCACAGGTCTCTCTGCCACTGAAGCCAATTCCCTTTTGCATGACGCTCATTTTTGGTTTGATTTCTGGCATTTGCAACACAAAGTGCTTCAACTTCAGTTTCTCAACTGAAGCAATGGAAATTATATGTTTTAAATTATGATGTAGATATAACTATAAAAATAATTATAGAATAAGATTACACAGATTGGCAAGACATCTTGTATGGGTGGCAGTTTTTAGTTGAAAGATCCAAACAGGTTGAGTAACAAGTCAAATAAATGAGGTTTACCATTTCAAGTAAAGGGGGTTCTAGACAGCCTGAAATAGCAGCAGCTAAGTCTTCCCAGGGGCCAGGCACTCTTATGCTTTTTCTAAACCTATTATCTCATTTAATACTCATGACTAACTTGTGAGTGAAGTACTATTTATTATGCCTGTCTAACTGCTGAGGAAACTGAGACCCAAATTCTTTAACTATCTGGCTCAAGGTCACAGAGTTAATGGAACAGGAAAGTGACAGACACAGAAGAACGCTGCCTGCACTGGAGCATGGAGATCGTTGCAAAGATAAATGCCAAAGAGCATTAAGGCAGTGACATCATGGATCCCGCACAAGCTAAGTAAGTCAAGCCAGAAATGTACATACCAGCTCTGCTTCCCAAGTGAAACTGTGAAATTTAGATTCCTCTTTTCTCTTTAAGCTCATTAACAGTTTCAAAGTAGTGTCCACAGCATGACTCTATACTCTGTTTCTCAAACTAAATTACCACCTTTGTATACAACAACCATGACCATAGCTGCAGTTTGCTAAACACTCAGCAAACACTGTCTCAAGTCATCTCTGCATGATCCCCTCTGAGTCATCACAACATCATGCAAGTCAAGACCAGTGTTGTCTCCATTTCACCCAAGAGAAAATGGAGGCTGAGAGGATTTGAAGCCCAGGGCTCACAGAGGGCTGGGAATGTGGCTCAGTTGGTAGACTACTTGCCTAGCATACAGGAAGCCCTGGGTTCAATTTTCAGCACCACATATACGAGAAGTAGTGGCAGACACATGCAATCTCAGAACTCAGGAGGCAGGAAGACGCAGGAGGATCAGAAGTTCAAGGTCACCCTGTGCTATGCGAGACCCTCCCTTACAAGAAAATAAATACTGAAATGAATTATAAAAAGTAAACATCCAGAGAAGAAAATATCAAAAACATTTAACAGTGATTATTTAGTGACAACCATGTGTGCTCTTTTTTCATTTATTTCAATGTTTCTATAAATAATAAAATAGGTAATAATTAGCATATATATATATATATATATATATACATATCAGAGCTACAGAGATAGTTCAGTCAGTAAAGTGCTTGCTATGTAAGGACCCGACTTCAATCGCCAGAAGCTATGTAAAAAAGCCAAGCATGGTAGCAGACACTTGTAATCTCAGCACTGGAGAGGCAGAAACAGATCCCTGGGGCTTGCTGGTCAGTCAAAATCCAAATAAGTGAGCTCCAGGTCTCAGTGAGAAACTCTATCTTAAAAACAAACAGACTGGGTCTTTGAGTCTGAGGAAGGACATGTGAGGCTGACTTCTGACCTCCCAAGTACACACACACACATGCACATACACATACACCAAAAAAAACAAGGCCTCTTAAAAATACAGAAACTAATAAACTACCTTAAAACTAGGGAGTTAAGAAGTATACCTCACATTGTCTGGAACTAGAAATCAGTATTTCCTGTAGGGTTTTTTTCCCCAGCCAAACTTAGGCCTTACAATCTGACTTCATGGGAAACCCTGGATCCCTGAACACACACTATGGCCATGTACTACACATGATTCACCAGCGTTTGTGACACCAGTGGAAAACAGGGCTGGGCCCTGCTAACTCGAGGAGAGCAGAAGATGAGCAAATCATCAGTCTTCACAGGGAAGGCTGGAGAGTGAGGTCTTCATCTGCATTACTTTTCAACTTTTATAGAGCAGATATTGTTGCATACACACACACACACACCCTTCTTGGCAACATTGTTTTTCATATCCCTATAAATCCATAATTCAATAATCATTTTAAACATATTTAGGCAATTTCTGACAGAATATTATGTGGCGAATGGGCATTATTTCACAGTATGGTTTTATTACTATAGCAAATATACATTGAAGCTATGCAGTATTTTTCAGAAAGTTAGCTATCTCAAAGTCCTATACTGACAGCTTTTCAAAAAGGATTTGTAATAACTTAAGTGATCACCTAGCAACTGTGACAGGCAGCTGCCAAAGGCTTCACACCTATAAATACATTTTGGCCTGGAAACCATTCTCAGTGAGTGACTAAGGGTCTCATGCTCTCCACTGGTGACCATCTGTTGATACTAATTCCTGTTGAATTTTTCTTAGAAAGGTCAGTCACTATCTGATTACAGACCTTAACATTTCTTAGCGTAATGTGTTAGAATGTTTTTAATCCGGGAGAGACTTACCCTGTTCCCCCATGAGAGAGGAACAAAGTAAGGACGATAGATTTCTCACCACAGACACTCACAGAATTAGAGCCATGACAAAGCAAATAAGAAGTGTCAACTGGAGGACTGAAGAAGCAAACGCAAGATTAAGAGATGACATAGCACTCAGCTTGAAGCTTTCACTTTCTTAGACCAATTAGCTATGGAGAAACTTCTCCCAGGGCCAGGGACAAAGAGGCTCCAGCTGAGTCCCTTCCCTACCCAGGGAGCTGAACCCCTCCTTCCTAGCTGAACCTCTCCCCCTCCCTCTCCCTCAGAGAGCAGTCACTCTGTGAAACTCTCCCTTTCTCCTTGAACTTCAAACTGCCACCCTGGGAGTGGTCACCAATGGTCTAATCCACCATTCAGCAGGATGACACTGATGGCTTTCTTGTGCTACCTATGGTCTTACAGTTTCAAGTCCCTGAGAACAAGATGCCAGCCATTCTCAGCATTTTCAGTTTTGTTCGTGTTTAATAACTAGACTTCCATAAGCCCAGGGTCTGAACAATGTAGTATCTTCACGAGCATAAGACAAGCATCCACTTGAGACTGCAGGAGTCTAAGACACCCTTTTATCTGTGAGCACCAAAGCCAAGATTTGATTTAATCACTTACCCTCAGGAAGAAAAGATTTCTACTCCATCCTCAAAGGGCAGATAAAATCAGAGTCAAGAACTGTGCCTCAAGGAAAACAGTTATTGTGGAGCAAGCTTGCTAACGTCACTTTCTATGAGGGATCTGCAATTTCCAACAAATTACAGACTAGGATTTACTGCAGTTGGATTCAAAAGTAAATGTCCCCTCCCTGCTTTTGGACTTTTGGTCTAGTTACATGAACTGTTTGGCAATTCTTTAAAACATATTTCCTAGAATGAAGAAAAAAAAATATAGCAATATAATTCCTAATTTTGTTCTTTATATACTATACCTACCATTGCACTAGTCTGAAAAAAATATATACAAACAAAGTTAACTGAACTACCAAGTTCTTCCAAAGTGTTTCTGACTTAAAGGTCAATGCATATTACATTGGGTTGGAAAATCTGCTTCCAGCCTTTGTGATAAAGAAGGATGAATGGAGCAGCCATCATGCACAGTGCTGCCAACCTAACTGCTGGACCATTTCACTGTAGGCCATGTTTATGTCTTAGTCCTTTCTTTAAGGAGTACATCTCTCATTTCCCTTCCTGTGTAAATCAGCAGTTCTATGACATAGCCAGTGGCTTTTAAAGGAATGCAATACAAAGATGATCACACTATCAGACATTAAAAAAATATATTGCTTGCTACAGAGTCTTTCTGCTTTGGAAAGTTTGTCGTGTGTTCCCTCAAACAGACTAAGAATAAGCTATCGTGTGAACAGTGTGTGTATTGCTGGTAAATTAGCATGAT